CTGTGAAGGGAGCCCCACTCTTCATTTCAGAGATTTTAAAGCCCCACCATTTGGCAATGATGCTCCCCAGGAGCATGGCAGATATGCATCAGAAGGTTCAAACGTGGACTCCAACTAAAGTGCAGTAAACTTCTGCCTTCAACAGTCTCACCCCCCGTTACCCCCCAGTTGTATTTATACTTTGAAAGAAGTTAACATGAAGCAGTAGTCACCTGGGCGTGCTCAATTTTTGACAAGCCTTAGTCACTCTGTACCCAGCAGAACAATTCACATTATATTCGAAATCCTGTGAAGATTCTGCCACACATGCTAACACTAAAATGCCAGTAGCTCCACTTACCTTCTTTATTAAGCCTCATAACCTCCCTGCTTTTTCCACCCTCTTTTCCAGCCTCTTCTAAATCTACATCTGCAGATGAAAAAGAAAAGGAAAACAGAAAATAAGGAAAAAAGGGGGAAAAAAAGCCAAAGTCAAGGGGGGAGGGAGAGTGTTTATTTGCAAACAGATCGATATAAATACTGTATATGAAATTCTTTCAAAAATTGACAATGCAACATTTTCTCCCAAGTCCGGGTTTTCATCTACCTGGCCCAGATAGGTACCCAAAAAACTATGCAAGCAGCAACAGAGTAGCCTTTTAAACGGACGACACCGTGGGGCTGCGAGCCCACCCCGCGGGCTGCCACGGGGAGCCGGGCACAGACAGACAGACAGACAGCCCTGGCAGCCGGGCCCTCCCTGTGCATTGATGATCTGTCTCTGTGTGTATTTATTTAGAGAGAGAGGGAGAAGCATGGAGGACACCGGGGGCCACTCTCTCTCTCACACACACACTTTTTCCCAGTGGCTCTAGGTGAATGGAAAGGTTACAGGATAATAAAAGGAGGAGGAGGCGGTGGGGTTCTTACTGTCGGAGCAGTGTAATTTGGCGGCGTCGATCCAGGAGGACCAGGGTTTGCCCAGAAACGCCTCCGGACTGGGCACTTTGCGATCCAGTGTCGCCATTGCTCTTCCTTCTTGTTGCTTTTTCCCTGTTCCTTCGGCAGCAGCAGCCGAGAGACACGGGATTCGAGAACGCTCCGACGTCATCTTCGGAACGTTCCGACATTGAGTGTTCTGAAAGGGGGAGGGAGGGAGGAAGGGCGGGATGGGAGGAGGGCGGCGGAGGAGGAGGGGAGAGGGAGCGGAGGAGGGGCGGGCGCTCTGGCTCCCGGAGCCGGCTCGGCGGGGCTCGCGCGCCCGCGGCCGCCAGGGGCAGCAGAGAGGCGCCTGCAGTCCGCGCCCGCCCGCCGGGGGCCGCCCGCCTGCCTGCCGGGGAGGGGCCGCGCGGCCCGGCGAGCGCCGCGTGCCGGAGAGCCGAGGCTGCAGCGCGCTCGGCAGCCGGGATGCGGCGTCGGCGCCGCCCGAGCCGGGGCGCAGGGGTCGGGCGTGCGGAGAGAGGCCCGACTCGGGGCCGAAGGAAGGGTGGTCTTTCCCGCAGAGTTTCCGCTGGCGGACCGAAAGTTTTTGCAGGCAGCTCTTGCTTCCAGCTTGTGCCTCTCTCCCCGAGTGCCTGTCGCCCACCGCCAGGCGCCCCCGCGGGGGTCCCGACGGCTTGGTGGGGAGGAGCCGAGAGGGGTTGCGCCCCCCACCACCACTCGGAGCCACGGAAGGGACCTTGGTGACCTCGCCTCCCGGCCCTCACCCCCGTCACCCCCTTTCCTGGAGGACTTTGGGCCGTGGAGATTCTGCAGTTGCTCTGGGAGCTGAAACCAGTGGGTAGATGTGGTTCTGAAACGCAGGTGAGTTTGGGGCGCGAGGAGCTCCCTTTCCATCTCAGGCTGAGGGTCGTGCAAAACTCAAAACTCTGGGCTCCCGAACCCCCAGGTTCCCTGCGCGGTGCATGTCTTCGGCTCTTAGAGAACCACTGCATGGACTTTGCTCCAGGGTCAGCAGAGCAGGAGGGCGAATTCACGGCTCTGGGAGGATGGTGCTAGCGGGCCTAGCCCCTGAGCCATTTCCGGCGCTCCCTGCGGTGAGATGAGGGTGGCCCAGGTTTGCGCAGACAACCTTTGGCCAGGAATCTGATTCCTGGGAGAATTCACTTCAGACGTAACCGCTCTAGCCACCTAGAAAGGGAGCGCTAGATTTCCTCTGGATATGGACGTTGGGTGCTTTAGTTGAGATTTTCACCGTCTCCCTGGGGGTAAGCAACAAAGGCTTTAAAAAGTCTCTGTTACTGCTTTTTAACAAATACTTTTGTTTACTAGGAATTATCTAAACTATGTGGACACCGCCCCACCCCACAATTGATATTTATTTTTTCTCTCTTTTCCCAGCACCGTTTTAACTCTCACCACTGCTGTTTCCCAAGTTGTCACAGCTGAAGCTCACTGATGTGAAGTTGCTTTGTACTGACTAAGTTGAGCCATCTAATAATGTTCCTGAGCTTGACACCCTGTATCTCTAAGCCGGTGTTAGGAGGGGCAATGAAGGAGGAGCTGTGGATTTGCTTTTAGTTGTGGTGTTTGCGTGAGTTGGCTTGTTTGTGTCAGACTCAGATAGACTGCATCTGCCTTTGCTCTCTTTGGAAGGGCTTCTACATAGCTAAGGTGTCGCTAGGTGAAGAATTCCTGTTTTAAGAACCGGAGGTGTTAACAAATATTTATTACTTGTTGACCTCTTGCTATATGCTAGACCCTGGGCTTGACATTCCCTCCCTCCCTCCCTTCCTTCCTTCCTTCCTTCCTAGTCAACCAACATTGCCTGTCATGGAACAACTGCCCTCAGGAGAGAAAGATGAATGAGACCCAACCTCACTCTCACAGAGATGCAGTTTGGAGGTCTCTGGAAGGAGTAGTTGTGAAACTTACCGACTTCTTGGGGAAAAAAAAGGGCAGATACACAGGGACTGGCCTGGGCAGTGGATGGGGTGGTGTCTCAGGGCTGTGTCAGTTCATAAGAGGAACTGAAATCTAGTTAGGAGTGAACAGAAACTGTGTGACAGAGAAGATGGGATCTGCTCTGCATCTTGGAAATTGGCAAAGATTTATAATGGTAAAGTGAAGGCTGATCTTGTGGAGGGAGAGGGAGTGAATGATGCTCTCAGCAGAGGCTTCAAGCTGAGCATAAACAGGGTGTGTTTGGGTGTTCAGCATGGTTTGCCTGGGGTGGAGAATTGTTACTGGGGGTTTGGGGGTGATGCATTTGGATACCCAAGCCTGGGTTAAATTCTGGAAGGCACCAAATGGCAGCCTAAAGAGTTGATTTTGTTTGACAATGGGGAGCTACTGAAGGGCTTTCTGCACCATAAAGATGAGTTGAAAGTGTGACTTAGAAAGATTGGCATACGCAGCCTGGTTAGAAAAGGAGTGCTGCCGTGTCCGTGGTGAGAAGAACTGAAAGCCTGAACTTCGGTGGTGCTATGCAGGTGGAGAAGAGGAGACAGATGCGAGACTCTCTGAAGAGAGCACCTGATCGGAGGGTGTGCTGTCGGGCTGGATTTCGGTGTGGGGAGAGAGAATTTGAGCACTCTGAGGCATGAGGAATTAGATGCTGGAACATTTTCCCTTTCCTTTCTGCTTCCCTATTTCCCCTCTCTTATCTATTTTGATGTTTATTCCTGTGTTGTTGGGCATGCAAGGAAGGTGTGGGCAGCTGCTAATGTCGCCCAAAGGTCTGCACCTGCTGGCGCTCATGCCCTGTGTAATCCTCTCCCCTTTTGTGTGGGCTAGACTTAGTCACTTGCCTGTAACCAGTAGAATATAGCAAAGGTGGTGGGATGTCATTTCTGAGGTTAGGGTACAAAAAGGCTGTCACTTCTGTCACTCTGCCTTGCACGCCCTGGCCTGCTCTAAGGGAAGCCCACTGGCATGTTGTAAGCTGCCCTATGGAGAGGCCCGTGTGGCAGGGAACTGAGGAACAGAGGCCCTCAGTCCAACAGCCAGTAAGGAGCTGAATCTTGTTAGTAGCCATGGGAATGAGCCACTTGGTGGGAATCAGTGACCTGAGCTTCCAGAATGCTGTCTCCTCTCCTGGGAGCCACTATAAACCACTCAAAAAAAAAAAAAATCCAAGGTGGCATATCATCAGAAGTCAGGGCACCTTAGTTACAGTGAAACAAACCATTGGTTCCGTATTTTAACATGTGCTTGCTTTCCCAGCAGAGTCTCACAAATGGAGGTTACTACACAGGACCTTGAAGAGGGTCTAACAACCCAAATATTATTTCCTTCTATTTGGGATGATTTTACTCTCTAGCATAGTAAATTGTGGGCTAGAATCTAAAAGTGATTTAGCATCTCTACAAAAGAAGACTTTATATGCATTGCCACGTTTAATTGATAACAGAGTACATCTACATTGTTGCAGTTAGTTATGGAGTGTAATTATAGAGTTCCTTTACTCTAAGCCTTCCCCAGTTTCTCCACTGACTATAGACATAATAATACTGACTTGTTGAAACTATAACCCGTCTACGACTGTGTTGGATAACATGACTGTCAGTCAAATGGCATAACTGAGAGGCAGAGAATAAAGAAAGCATTGCTCATCAAACTGCTAGACATTTACACTTGACTTTGGATGAAAATTGAGGTCAATTGGAAGTAGAGTTCAGGTTTACATGCTGTATTATATATATATATATCTCAATACTTATATATCAATTATATATGGTGGTCAATTTATTACAGAGTTGAATTCCTTTTGGTAGTAAATAATTACAAATACTGTTAGAGGCAATAAGAATCTTATTTATCCTTAATAAGGATAAAGTGACCTGCAAAACAGTAATTTAAAGCATATTAATATAACGTCTATGTGATAAAACTATCTAGCAAAACACTCTCTTCCCATCATGATTCATGTTTAGGAAGATAAAAGGATGTAAATATTTTTATCGTTTTATTATCTTTCTTAGGAAAATGACAGTGTGGTTGGTTTAATTAGAAAGGAGAGTCTCGGAGTTCCCTGCAACGCTGCTTATCTTCACGTTCTCTCGTTCCCCGGGCGTTCTCCTCGTTGGCCTTCTGGCTGTGCCATGCCCTGCTCTGAAGAGACACCCGTTTCACCCAGCAGGTGGGCCCGGCCTGCAGAGGAGGGTGGCATGCAGCTCCCCTTTGCCAGGCTCTCCGAGCACGCCACGGCCCCCACGGGCTACGACCTGTACAGTGCCTATGATTACACAATCCCACCTATGGAGAAGGCTCTTGTGAAAACAGACATACAGATAGCGCTTCCTTCTGGGTGTTACGGAAGAGTAGCTCCTCGGTCTGGCTTGGCTGAAAAACACTTTATTGATGTAGGAGCTGGTGTCATAGATGAAGATTATAGAGGAAACGTTGGTGTTGCACTGTTTAATTTTGGCAAAGAAAAGTTTGAAGTCAAAAAAGATGATCGAATTGCACAACTCATTTGTGAACGGATTTTTTACCCAGAAATAGAAGAAGTTCAAGCTTTGGTTGACACCGAAAGGGGTTCAGGAGGTTTTAGTTCCACTGGGAAGAATTAAAAGTTATGCCAAGAACAGAAAACCAGAAGTCATACCTTTTTCTTAAAAACAGAGAGTTTTTGCTTAAAGTGTTTTGGTGTTTTGTACTTCTGTAAACTTACTGGTTTTACCTTCTGAAAGTACTGCATTCTTTATTTTTTTTTTATTATTTATTTATTTATTTTTTTTTTTGAGACGGAGTTTCGCTCTTGTTACCCAGGCTGTAGTGCAATGGCGCGATCTCGGCTCACCGCAACCTCCGCCTCCCGGGTGCAGGCAATTCTCCTGCCTCAGCCTCCTGAGTAGCTGGGATTACAGGCACGTGCCACCATGCCCAGCTCATTTTTTTGTATTTTTAATAGAGACGGGGTTTCACCATGTTGACCAGGATGGTCTCGATCTCTCGACCTCGTGATCCACCTGCCTCGGCCTCCCAAAGTGCTGGGATTACAGGCTTGAGCCACCGCGCCCGGCCTATTTTTTTTTTTTTTATGGTTAAAGAAACTTTGTTTTTCTGCAATTGATGGTTGTATGTAAACTGCTTTGTAGTTACCTGATGTAAACAGTGTGTTCTTAAAATCAAATGTACATCGATTACAGAATTTAAAAAACTATTATTTAACTCAAATGATACCCATTGAGCAACTTATTTTGCTTTAATTGCTTTAAATCTTTTTTTTTTTTTTTTTTTTTTTTTTTTGAGACAGACTTTCGCTCTTGTTACCCAGGCTGGAGTGCAATGGCGCAATCTCGGCTCACCGCAACCTCCGCCTCCTGGGTTCAGGCAATTCTCCTGCCTCGGCCTCCTGAGTAGCTGGGATTACAGGCACGCGCCACCATGCCCAGCTAATTTTTTGTATTTTTAGTAGAGACGGGGTTTCACCATGTTGACCAGGATGGTCTCGATCTCTTGACCTCGTGATCCACCCGCCTCGGCCTTCCAAAGTGCTGGGATTACAGGTGTGAGCCACCGCGCCTAGCCAATTGCTTTAAATCTTAAGCAATACTTTTTATTCAGTAAACCTAAATTCTTTCACAGGTATAAAATCTTGCAGAAGCTGAACTAAAAGAACTAAAAATGAATAGGAGAGATTAAAGTTATTTCTTCTGTTCTCTTCAGTAGTCTAAAAACTTTTTAATCTTAAGATTCTTTGTGATAAGGATGAGAAAAGAATCCTCAGCTTATTTCTCCATTATTAATCTTTGTTTGGATAAATCCTCTATTGACTGGGTAGAGGTGTGTTTGTGAAAGACTTGTAGCTTGGTGATTTGTTACCTTTGGTTTGTTCCCCTGAATTTCATCTCATTAGGCAAATTGTACTAGTTGTAGTTAATGAGTTTCCCTCAGGAAAGTAGTAATAGGCTGTAATCAAGAAAATATGCCTTTTATAGAGATAAGATAAATAATGTATACTTCGGCTACCAGATTTTTCCATCTCACACGCACAGCTTGAGTAAATACATACAAGAAGCATGTCATTGCAGATAGGGGACTGAGCCTGTGGCCTAGCTTGATTAACATATTTTGGCAGTTTCTGCTAGTGTGCTTTCTTTTCTTTACCGTATTTTTGTGATTCCTTTGTATCAGGGCTTTGGGTGTCACTTAGGTTTTGTCCATCAGATTCTATGAGATACCAGACATCGTTCTGAGCATGTGGGTCATACTCATGGAGTGCTTCTGGAGCGATCAGCTCGCTCACCCACCCAGGTTCTGGAAGCACAGGCTAGTGTTTCTTCTTTGCTGGTGATTCTCCAGGCCATTTAATACCCTGCAATGGAATTGTCCATCTGTGGGTTACAATTCATTAATGAGTCGTGAAATCAATTCAGTGGGACATTGCCAGCATTTTTGTGTACTGCGTTGGGCTAAAAATTATTTGTTGTCAATAAAATTTAAATGTTTTTCTCCGGAAAAAAAAAAATAGGAGAGTCTCCCATAGATGAAATACAGAAATCTGTTCTATGGAGATGACAATGGGAAATACCTATTTAATTTGAATAACACCTGGTTCTGTAGCAATGCGCATCTAATATGTATCCTGCATTCGCTTAGTCTGAGTCAGGTGCTGCTTCACCACATTATTGAAAAGAAGAGGGAATATTAGCTCCCTCCTTTGAGGATATTAAACTCCTGCTGGGGTTGAGGCGCCGTGTGAGCACCCTACTTCCTACCTAGACTGTTGGGAGTTCCGTGGAGGCAATGAGGAGAAAATGACATGTTCCATTAGAATGAGGCATCCTCGGAACTGTTTGATGTTCTTTGCTTTAATTGAATCCATCTATCCCATCTGCCACCCTTCTCTCTCAATTTATTTCCCTAACCCGCTCTCCCTGAGAATTATAGTTTGGGGAAAATTTGTGACATACGTTGTTACCGTTTATAAAAGCTCTCGGCATCTGGAGGGCAGGTGTGCCTTCTACTCTGTGTTGCTAGACAACTTTGCCTGCCTCTTTCCTGCCCCTTGCAGGCTGCTGGATTAAAAACAGGACCAGATAAAAGGCCCCCAGTAGCAACAGGAGTGGGAAAGAAAATAGAAATTTCAGGCTTTTACTTATTGGTTTCAATATAGAGCCCTAGCCATGTGCCTGGCTAACCATGGACTCTATTAATAAATATAACTACAGAAACATTTGCATTCTCTGACTGAGCCAGAACAGCCAAAATGAGAGTGTGTTCTCTCGACAGAAATCTGTCTTAAAACTCTTGGCTGATTCACCTGTGACTTGGGTCAGTTGGGGCTCCCTGGAACTGCTGTGGTGCTGAAGGTTGAGGTCATTTCTGTTCCCCAAAATGTGGCAGATCCAGCCCCATTCCTGACCACTGTCCTTTTGCAAGGGCGAGACAGGAAAAATGATAGCTTCTCTTTAGGGTTCTTGTAGATAACAGTTTGGGCCCTTAACCTACACATAAAGAAATTTAACATTAATGTACACATATTGGTTTGAGCAAAGTCCATCCACATCTCCAAACCTACCGTTTACTGTGGTGCAGGAGGCAGTGCAGGGTGGAGGCCAGAGCACAGGCTTGAGATGGGCAGGCATCCCTTAGAATTGCCCTTTAGTCATTTGCTTGAGAACCTGCCTTGATCCATCTGAACCTCAGGCTCCTCATCTCTGAAATGGGCAGTAAAGCTCTTCTTTTGGATTGATGAGAGGATGAAGTGAGATTCTGGGTACTGAGCCCCAGGCATAGGGCGCACAGCGGACAGTGGTTCAGTGGTCACTGTGATGATTTCTTTAGTTGCAGCGCATCGTTTAGACAGTAGCTGCCAGTCAGAGACAGGCTGACGCTGACAGTAGGAGTAGCTCCTCTGGTTGCTTCTGACAGACATCCTTCTGCTTGGAAAGGAAACTAAAGCACTTCTTTCCTTTAAATGGAGCTGCTGGCCTGATTCAATTATGTGGAGGCCTCTGTCTGAAACCTCTGCCCAGAACTTCCTCTTGTCATGTACATCATGGTAATACATAAATATCCCTTTCTTCAGGAAAGGTCCTGAAAGACCGTTTGCTATGCGAAGGCACTGCACAATCCAGTTTGGTCGCAGACAAAACTGCCTTTGCATGATAAAGGAAATCGTTGTCTTAAAACTAAACAGTGTGATTTCTGCTTGTTTTCTTTGAAAAATGTGTTTCTTCCATAAAAGAAACTTGATAGCGAGTTTTGAAAATCATGTGATATGGTTTGGCTATGTCTCCACCCAAATCTCAACTTGAATTGTATCTCCCAGAATTCCTATGTGTTGTGGGAGGGACCCAGGGGGAGGTAATTGAATCCTGGGGGCTGGTCTTTCCCGTGCTATTCTGGTGATAGTAAATAAGGCTCATGAGATCTGATGGGTTTATCAGGGGTTTCCGCTTTTGCTTCTTCCTCGTTTTTCTCTTGGTGCACCCATGTAAGAAGTGCCTTTTGCCTCCTGCTATGATTCTGAGGCCTCCATAGCCAAGTGGAACTGTAAGTCCAATTAAACCTCATTTTTTTTTTTTTTTTGGAGATGGAGTCTTGCTCCGTCACCCAGACTGGAGTGCAATAGCACAATCTTGACTGACTGCAACTTCCGCCTCCCAGGTTCAAGTGATTCTCCTGCCTCAGCCTCCTGAATAGCTGGGATTACAGGTATCTGCCACTAAGCCCAGTTAATTTTTATATTTTTAATAGAGATGGGGTTTCACCATGTTGGCCAGGTTGGACTTGAACTCCTGACCTCAGGTGATCCACCCACCTCGGCCTCCCGAAGTGCTGGGATTACAGGCATGAGCCACCCTGCCTGGCCTAAACCTCTTTTTGTTTCCAATTTTGGGTATGTTTTTATCAGCCGCATGAAAACAAGCTTAATACCTCATGAATAAACATGTTCTCCTCATGAAATAGTAAAACAGAAGCAATAAGAGAGAAATAACCCTTCAAATGTGGTCACTCCTTTACCCCCAGGTCTGAAGGCATTTTTCATACCACTTATTCTAGGCATTTACCTACTGTATATGTCTGTCATTATAGGTGTAGATGGTATTGCTGTGTGTGTTGTCTTTTGTTTGTTTGTTTTTAATGTGGATAGTATCACTTTGCGGACATTTTCCTGTAATTTTCTTTTTTCACATGTGCTGTTACATGTCATTATGTATGGAAATACCTCATTCTTTTAAACTGCATCATGGTATTCCATAAAACGTTTCAGGGTCTATTGATCTGTTTTTGTTTTTGTTTCTTGAGACAGAGTCTTGTTCTGTCACCTAGTCTGGAGTGCAGTGGCGCAATCTCGGCTCACTGCAACCTCCATTTCCTGAGTTCAAGCTATTCTCCTGCCTCAGCCTCCCAGGTAGCTGGGATTACAGACACCCACCACCATGCCCAGCTAATTTTTGTGTTTTTACTAGAAGTGGGGTTTCACTATGTTGGCCAGACTGGCCTCGAACTCCTGACCTCAAATGATACGCCCCTTGGCCTCCCAAATATTTATCTGTTATCTTATTGATAGGTATTTAGGTTTCTAGTTTTTGTGAAAAATAGGTAGTCAACATCTTTA